TTTTATTTATTTGGATGTCAATGTGTTTTATAATTATATTTTTTATTTGATGTCAAAATATTTTTATATTATCTTATATATGTAATAATGTTAAAAATTGATTAATTCGATCAAAATTTCATCGATCTGATTTAAATTAAATTAATTTAATTATTATATAATAATAAATTAAATTAAATTAATTTAAAATTTTTATTAATTAATTAACTTTAATTAATTTAAAAATATTAAAATTCAAACCAACCTACACAGCAAACACCACTACTAAAAAGTGACACCTAACTCTTATTTTTTTGACTTAAACTAATACATAAAATATGTATTTAAGATCCCTTATTTTGCGTCTAAAAATATAGATTAAATAAATTCCCCATTAAATTTACTGAAAAGTTGAAAACAGCTGTGATACACTCAAATTCAAATTAAACCATTGTTGTAGCGTTGGATCCGTTGGGTCTTGAGAATCTAAATCACGTTATACGCGCGTGAAGTATGTAATGGACGCCACAGCCCACCTGCAACATCGATAAAGTTATAATATTTAAATGGTTTAATACCCAATTTGGTCCCTAAACTTTCATTTCGAAACTTAGTTCATCCTTTAACTTCAGAAGGGACCCAAACCATCCTTAAACTTTATTTTTTTAGAACCCAAATGGTCCTTCCGTCACAGAAATGCCCAGCTGGCCCGTTAACTTGCCACGAATTAATACTTTTATTTTAGAAAAATTACGTGGAAAAAAAATAATGATTTTGTAATTTCAATTTCTCAAAATACAGCATCAATGCCGGCGACCAAAATCCCCTTAGCCATCTCCGTCAATTGAGAGAAAACCACGACGATAGAGATCAACAAGCTGAGCGCAATCAGGACCATCATCCCCAACGTGACACTGGGGCGAGTGTTCATCAACTGCGACTACAACACTCCCATGATCTTGCAAATCATCGAATCGTAGCTCGTATAGACACGTTTCTCCCAATCCATCCAGTCCGCAGGCAGCTCGTAGTTCCTCTCGATCATCTTCATCTAATGAATCCTCTTCCGAAGAACGATCATGCTTTCTTCAACGATCCGTCTGCTTGAGTCTCGGCCGCGCGCCTCTTTCTTCGCCACGAATATCTTCGTTAAGATCGTTTAAAGCCGAATCCGGCATCCGCATAAAATAATTACATAAATGAATTCTAGAATCGTTTGGTTTTATAAGTTGGGGATTCAACCAAATCAGGAGAATAACTCCTTTGCAAGCTGCTATACTCATTGCAAAGGGACAAAAAAAGCTAAAATCGGCTAAGATCTCAGTTGATAGAAGCGCCGATTCGACTCCATTTTCGCTGCATCAGCTCCACACAACTTCAAACAAAAATGCAGCAAAAATATTGAGGAATTAAGCCAACCTAGGGCATACTACTAATAAGTTCGTTTTCCTTTCTAGTTTCCATAGTTTCTTAGCAACCAAACACAAATTTCAATCGCAATCCTCAAGTAAAAAACAAAATCTACTTTTCTATCAAAGGATTTAAGTATATAAAGCCACAAAAAAATCGCTCACCGGTGCCAAGTTGAAAGAGAGTGAGTCTTCAAGAAGGATTGTTACTATTGGAAGCACTGGTATTGTCGCCATTGATGAGAATAGAAGAGAAGTTCGGAGACGGCGACCGCATTGAAGGTTTGCAAACTGAAAGACAACGCATCGAAGAAGAAGACGGTGCAACTGGGAGTGTTGTTCTCAGCATTTTCTCTTATCTTCTTCACCCCAATCCCAATATGGGTTCTAAACCCCAACTAGAAAAGAAAAGGAAAAAGAAAAAGAAAAAAAAAGGGAAAGAAAAGGGAAATGAGGAAGGAGGAAAGAGGAGGGTGGAGAGTAGAGAGAAAAATGAGAAAGGGAAAGAATGATGTCGCTGGATTGGTGTTGATGTCGGTGCTGGAGAACAGGGAAATAACAAAAATGGCAGGGAGGGATGGGGGTTGAAGATAAGGGGAGGGTTAATATTTTAATTGTATATTTTTTCTATTAAATTTATTAAAATGATTAAATCATTATTTTCTTT